TATTAAATATAAAAAATTAAAAACTAATAAAATTTTAATAAAATTTTACCTTCAAACATATAATTTTTCGTAAAATATTTTTTTAAACTTTTTATAGAATAATTTTTTTCAACTAATTTTTCAGTAAAATTGACATCGATCGATAGGCGCCAGCTGTCTAGAAAATGGGCCCAAACCCACGTGCTGCTGTCTACGAAATGAATAATCTTACAGTATCTTTTTGTCTGCCATCTTGATCTTCAAGTAGCAACAAGAGCTTTCCCGATTCCACTCACTAATTTAAATCTTTTAATTTAAAATTACAATTAATGTTTAAATCTGTGTAATTATAAATAATTAACTTTTTTACACGTAAAAAAAATCTTACAGTACTCCCGAGGAGTGCTAGAGCACATTGTTACGGTATGCGAGTTTGGTGGCCGAAGCCAAGGGCATCATGGCACGGAGCTACAGCCACAAGCCATGGGCACACAGGCGGAGTGTGCAACATCCAAGGGGCATGCCATTCGGCGTCGCAGAGCATGATTGCAGACACGAGGGTAGGCACGAGCGCAAGCATGGGCGCAAGCACAAGCGTGGATGCGAGTATGTAGGATGCAGGTGTCAGTATCGTGACATGGGGTTGTGATTACGACACTTATGCATACGGGGGCATAGGCGCAAGGTGGAATGCTCAAGAGGTAGCGGGCCTTGTCAGTGGAGGCGCCGTTGCCAGGGCCATGGCATGAGGTTGCGGACAAGACATGTGGGAGCGTGCAGGAGCAGTCGGGGGTGACATGCAGGTGTGCGCAAGAGTGTCTTGGCTCGAGACACGGGTGCACACACTGGCAACCTAGGTTGAGATGCTAGCACGCATGGGTGCGGTCAGGCTCGAGGCATTGGCGCGTGTGGGAGCGGCCAAGAGCGTCCACCAAGCATGCAATGCTAGTAGTGGAGGAAATGTCGACATGCGGAAAATGCACAGGATTATGGTGTCAACACCTTTGTGACGGACTGGAGCGTCCCAAAAAATTCTAGAAGCTGCTGGGCGCGTGGGAATGGTTCCAGACAAGGGTTTGGAAGGGCTTGATGGGCCAAGCCCGACCTGAGATCTTCCTAGTCCCTTGTACATAGTTCTAAAATGGGTTGTTCTAGAATAATGTAGGATTAAGCTAGGAGGAAGAGTGGAGAAAGTTCCAGATATTGTACATAAGAGGGAATTTTGTGGAGTGTTCTAGAGACTATCTGCAGAAGGGACTTGGGCCAGATCTATTCGATAAATAAGAGGCCAAATAGAAGAGGGGGTTGGCTAAGGCTGCCTAGAGAAAAGGCCAAAGAGAGTGAGCTGCTAGGTGAGTGAGTACATAGAGGGGCTGTGTACTCAAGCTCTTGTACATTTCCTTGCGATCTTAATAAATTCTCTTCTTCTCCCAACTTCCTACCTTCGTATTTCCTTGTGTTGCTAACCTCCAAGTCCCGGGGTTGGGCCACGCCAAGTGTTGGGGAAGGCTGACTTGGTTCGGGTTTAAAGGGTTATTTTCGAGCTAAGTGCCACACGGGGTCTAGCTAAAGTCTTGTCTCATGACAACACGCTCTAGCACTCTCCATTTCAACACCCTTTTCTTTGCTTCACCACATCATTTATACATTTAAGATTTGTTTAACTTATATCTTAAACACAAGATTAATAATCTTAAAAAATAAAAATAATATTTAATTTATTAATTATCTAATTAAATATATTCATATAACAGTAACACTAAAATTAATATCTATTTTAGTAATTTTTTATTATAAAAAAAAGTATATTTATTGCACTCTTTCCTTCATTTAAATATTTGATTGGCAAACTAATGGCACCTTCAGGTCTCAAGAACATCATTAGTCACTATTTTGATTTATTTAAAAATTAAAATTTGATAATATACTTCTCTTTTCCCTCATATCCATTGTTTTCAAAATCGAATTACGTTTTGACCTCTGTTCACAGTTTAGGTGGTTGAATTTGTTTGATCAGTTAAAGAACTAAGTTGATAAAATTTTAAAAAGGTTTAAGTACCATTTTGGTCCCTCAACTTTTCACTTTGGCACCAAAATTGTCCTTCACCTTTAAAAAATATTAAAATTATCCTCAAACTTTCATTTTTAGTACCAAAATGGTCCTTCTGTCAGTTAAATGACAGGTGGCACGTTAAAATGCCAGCAAATCAATTCTTTTTTTTTTTTCTTAATCAATGACATGGAAAAAAAAACATATTTTTTTATGAGTTGGTATTTTTAATTAATTTAAAAATAATTATATCTTTTTCTTTTATCCACGTCAGAAAATAAAACATCTCTTCTTTCTCTTCCTCTTTCACTGTAATATCCCAAATTTTCGGGAATATTTAAGTGTAAGTTAAGGACTTGATTGTGAGAAAAGATTGTTTTGGGGCTTAATGTGAATATTTTGAAAGTTGAGGGACTTAAAGAGGGAAAAATTTTGGATAAGGATGACTTCTTTTCTTTTTCTTTTTTCTTTTTCTTTCTTTCTTTTCTTCCCAGCCATTCTCGATTCTGCTCTTCTTCTTCCCGCTGCAGCCCGAGAGGAAAAAAAAAGAAGGAACCCAGCCATGCCTTGGAAAATTGGTGAGATAAGCTTGGTTTTCTCCTTCCTTTCTTGCTCTAGAACACACCTAGAACCCAGAAATCTTCCCCCCTGCTGGAAAAGCCGGATCTGCCCTGCTCTGCTTTGTCCTTCCGCCGGCTGCTCTTGATTGTGGGTGATTTCTGGGCATTTTTTCATTAAGAACAGCCCCTAATTCCTTTGTTCTTGCTTGAATTGGCTTGGGTTAACTTTGATTGCTCTTGTTTCCTTCAATTTTGGGTAGTTCCCGTGAGCTTCCCCTGCACTTGCCGCCGGCCTCTTCCCCAATCTGCAGCTCCGGTTTTAGCTGGAAAATTCTGGTATGTGGCAGCCTTTTTAGGCTTAATTTGTCCATTTTGTTTGCTGCCTTGTGTGTCCAAAATTCTGCAGAAAATGGGGATAATTTCGGTAGCTTTAAGATGAGATTTAAGCATTAATTTAAGTGGGATTTATGTGATTGAGTGTTAATTGCTTGTTGTGATTTTTGGAGAGAAAACCCCGTGATTAGCTAGTGTTCTGGCCAATTTTGGAAGTTGGAATTACTGTTCACGTCGGGGTCACTGTTCATCGGCACTGTTCACCGGTTACTGTTCACACCTCGAGGGCCAACAATTAACGGGAATTTAAATGATTAGTTTGTGATATGAGAACGATTTTGGAGATATTTGATCATGTGGAGATTAATGGAAATAGCATTGTGATTAGGAATGATCCTAATGATGATTTCAGCTTGAATTTGTGATAGTCCGGTATTAATTCTGAGGTATTTTGATTAGGTTCCTGATCGTTCTGTCAGTTAGTACGTGAATTGAGTGCTCGGTTTTGCGGAGTGAGGTAAGTAAATTTATGGTAATGCCCGTACTGTTTTAAAAGCATGTTTTGATTTGTTTTTGAAGTGGTGGCGGGACTAAACCCGTTTTACACGAGCATGATTGATTTGAAGTGAAATGTTTTGTGCTTTTCATGAAATTGAGCATGCCTACTTGAAATTTAAGTGATTGTCCTGATGATTTGAAAGTGATTGTGAATTGTGATTTTCTTGTTAACTTCT